AAGAAATGGCGTAAAAAAATTTAAATCAAGAAACGTGAACTGACATGTGGTGGGTCTTGGCAGGAGATTCCCACAATCCACTTCTCCAGGAGGCATGCAATATTGTTGCTCTTGGCTGTAGAGCTCGTCATCCGGACACTCATAGTCGTAGGGAATGTAATCTACGCATTCGTAGAACATGTAGCAGAGGCTTTCGTGAGGGTATCGACCTTCAGCTTCTGGACATTGAAAAGCTCGTCCACCAGTGCTTGCAACGCCATCTGGCTTTCTTTTCTCCGCTCCTCCAGCTGCAAAAAAAAGTTTATCGGACAACTCATGGAATGAGTGTTGAAAATTGTCGGACAAGCACCAAGAAACAAAGGGGAATATGGAGCATTCCGAAGCATTGGAAACAATCGTAGTTTATCCAGTAGAACTCTGAGGTAGAGAAAACCCCGTTGGTGTAGTGATGATTGACTTTTCAAATGGACTTAAATTGTGATGCAATGGGTTATTGTTATTATAGATTGATTCCTGTTCTTCACCCATGGAGTTGGTGCAGTGAGAAGTGAATAATACAAATGACTCATTCGAAAGGGATTCAGTGTCTGCACTTTTACAAAATAAAACATGGAAAGAACTAAGTTGAAGAGAAAAATAATTACATTTGAACTCCTGTGTCTCTATCCTATCTCGGCCGAAGCAGATACAATCCATAGTAGAAAATTAAGGACAACAACGACTAGAGAATTGGAAGATGAAGATTGTAGGATAAACCCACTCGTGATTAGAAGCACCCACAGCAAAACTACCCCCACTGCCTTCTGCATGTTGTGCCGTTACACAGATGCTTTGAGAAGGTCGAGGAGCCTGAAGCTGACTGCGTTCTGGGTTCCTTCGGCCCTTCTTTTATCTGTACCACGAATAGTCCTATCCACTCAAGAGGCGTCAAAAGACGTCCCACGCATCCTCCATTCTCCACTCCAAGTGCCAATCGACAGATCTATATCCTGGTGTTGCATAGATATTCTTGGAAACTTCCCACGTTGCGTCAATGAATCGAGATAACATTATTCCTTCCCCTCGACTCCTATGTTTGTCCGCAGATCAAAGGTAATCTAAGGGTTCACTAATTACATGAGCCTTTAGAAATGTTCCCGTCCCCCTTTAACAAAGCGCGAGGTAGTGAGATTCAGATATTTATACGGAAATATCATGAAGTTTCCTTTATCTAATAAATATCGATGTGATAGTGAATTCCCTTAATCATGTCTTTCTGGATCTCCTCGATTCGTGTGCCCGCTTGAAGCTCTTGCAGGTGACAGTAGCAATGGCCTTGTATCGATTCCTTCGAAACGGGGAACAGGTCAGAGTCTGGGAGTACAATCAAGTGCAGGTGGTGATAGAGCTTCCCTGGAGCCGAATTCTCCAAGTACATGACAAGAGTTTCACATAATTATGACTGACTTCGATATTTCTTGAATTTGCTATTGAGGATGAGGTGACATCATTCAACTTTTAGCAGAAAATGTATTTTTGTCAATTCATCGTCCATCACAAATACTTCAAAAATCATAAGTCCAACATGATGGATTGTGGAACAGGATCCGAGACTGGCGTCAGAGATGTGCGAAAACAATGCTGTATTTGAACTAGCAGATTCAACCAGTAGCAATGGCCATGCAAATTACATTATTTGGAAATTATCGATACGTCAGGGTTAGTCCTGGGAATATGCCACCACCTTGCTGTTTCACTGCAGTGAAGGTAACCAGGAAACAGCTGTGATAAATGACTTCATCTTTAAAAAAAATACTTGATTTTATTGGAATTTGTATTGCCAATTGATCAATTTGATCCCACGATACCAGTTACACAATGGGAAAAAATTAATACCAGTTGAGGGATATATAGGATTCTATGTTTTTTTTTCGTACAGGATTACATAAGGCATTTTTCTCCAACTGCAGAATGTTTCATTTTAGGTATGCAGTGAACTTTACTTATATACTGCTTAATGGAATACCACTGTGTTGTTCAGATTACTTAACCGCAAGATGCATTATGAAGTAAATCGCACGAATGAATATGGGTACGGAAGTAACACGCTTAAAAGAATAAATTTGTCTAAAATATGAAGTGAAATTTTTATATAGCTTTTAAAACATGCTACCTGCTTTCGTTTTACCGAGAAAACGCCAAAAAGAGTACTGCATGAAAGTTTCTGATGATGGAGTAAAGGTAACTGGTCTCCGGACTATTCCAATGAGCGGAGTCGTTTGTATCTGATTGGAAAGAAAGTTCTCGGAATTTCTTGAATATCCAGTACAATTTTTTTCCAGAGCATGCTAGAATGTTCTGCGTGTGTTTATAAGTAGGTCGTGTCCTTCGGCATACAACCGTATATTATTACAGCCCTGGTGCTCTCCAGCCATGAACCAGCCCTACCCTCTTACTAAGGAGCAAGTTCGCCTGCTTCTTCTTTATGACTTC